CGGCGGAGTCGGGAGCGGGAGCCAAGAAGGGGGTTGAGGGCTATTACTCACGGAAGGTGCGGCTGGTGCTCCCTCCAGCGCTAAATTTCAAAGTCCAGCTTAAAACAAAACAAAACAAAAAACCAACCAACCCACAAAGAGTTCAACAGTCCCCCTCACTCCATCCCCTCCCCACACCCCAACGCCCGGCGGGGCTTCTCAGGAAGGGATTTTAGTCTTTTTTAATCTTCCCTCCTCGGCACCGAGCACGGACAGACGCCTCCGTCCCTCTACGGGGGCCACAGGCGATGGTAGCGGGCACGTGGCCAGAGCTATCGATCCAGTTACCACCAGGTTCAGCCGAGCGGGGCACACGGGTCACGAGATGTGAGGTTTGCTCCTCATGGGACCGTGCCACCAGCTGCCAAAAAAGCTGCAGGTTAGACGGTGGAGACGTTGGACTACTCAGTGTCTTGTACTAATGGGTTATGTCTTACGTACTCAGAGTGGGAATATATCCGTTTGTTTAGTATCATGGAATCACAGGATGGTTTGGGTTGGAAGGGACCTTGAAGACCATCCAGTTCCACCCCCTGCCCTGGGCAGGGACACCTCCCACCAGCCCAGGTTGCTCCAAGCCCCGTCCAACCTGGCCTTGAACACCTCCAGGGATAGGGCAGCCACAGCTGCTCTGGACAACATGTTCCAGTGCCTCACCACCCTCCCAGTGAAGAATTTCTTCCTAATATTCTCATCTAAATCTCCCCTCTTCCAGTTTAAAACCGTTCCCCCTTGTCCTGGGGCTCCACCAACTGCTCAAGAGACCCTCTCCAGGTTGTAGAAATAAGGCGCTATTGTGGCAAACGTCAGTAATTTCTGTCTGCAGCGCAGAACTTTGCTCTTCGCGGGTGCTGGGAGGGTTAAGAGCTGCAATTCAGGAGCACGTCGCAGCAGGTCCCTCGCTCGGCTCCCATCGTCCCCTTCCGCGAGCCGGCCAGTGTCACCCAGGGGTGATGGTCACTCTGGTGGCAGATGGCAGTACGGGTCTTTGGACTCGCCCTCGGGGTGGTGTAGATGGCAGCCACCTCCACTGACACCAACCTGCGGCTGCGTGTGACATGGCGTAGGGGACAGAGAAGAGAATCCATCCACTACAGGAGCTGCCGATGCCCGTAGGCGTACCAGCAGGAGGGGTAGGGGCTGTTTGGGCGAGGAAGAGCCGGTGTCGAGACTTTATTTGGGGATGGTCCATGCAGCCTCATCTGTGCTCTGCAGAGCTGGCAGCCGTTGAGGGCTCGAGTTCGCTCAGAACTTGCGTTTCCCCGTAGTTATTTGGCTGCGCAGGACAGAGGGACCTCTCTCCTTGACCCCACCTGACTTCCCTGGGGAAGAGCTGTTGCTCTTATCTGGTGCGACAATGCTTCTTTTGAGCCAGCAGGCGAATTCAGCGCCATCACAGAGAGATCAAAAACCTTCAAGTGAGGACTGCGGCTTCAATGAGTAACTCCACGGGAATGCGGTCAATGACGGGAGCCAGCAAGCCGGCGATGAAGCCATCTCACGCACGTATCTACCGGGGTCTGGGCCAGCCATACATCACAGAGGACTCTCACCTCAACTGCGTTCCCTCATGCTGAACTGAATTTATAATGGAGTCCAGTTCAGGTCCCGTTGAATTTGATGGTGAACGTATCTCCGTGCCACCCTTCAACGTAGGGCAGTCTAGTTTACCACCAAATTTGACCCGTGTGGGGATAATAAGGACCTCTAACAACTTCAGCCAACATCTGAGACTGAAATCCCTCCAGGTAAGGCGTAGCGTGGTGGCACGCAGAGAGGAGGGACGCCGGGATGGAGAAAACCTATTTGGCAATTTCACCATGGTTGGAGGCAGCGCCTGGAGGTTTGCAGGCAGAGGGCGAGGCGAGAGCTCCTGATCGGTACGGCCGAGAAGTGGATTATTTTGCGGTCCCAACGGTAGAAGGCAGGTGAGACGAGGGCCAGATTTTCACCGGTACTGTGACATTCTGCCGGCGAGATACCGCAGGCGGCACACAGAAGAGCCGTCATCAGGCAGAGGACGCGTGGCCCAGGGAACGAGCCGGCCGGCAAGAGGTTCTGGAAAGGGTTTCGGATGCCGGTTATTCCATCCCGTTCTTACTTCACGCAACGGTCTGAGGCGGGAGGAGCGCTGCAGTCTGCGCGGCCCAAAGGGCCAAGCGGAGGGATGTTTGAGACATCTTTGCTGAGGTGGAGACCTGAGGGATGAGAGCCTTAACGCTTCTCCGCTTCTTCTTACGCTCTACCGAACTTCCCGCGTGTCGAACTGAGAGCTTTCCTCCCGCTCCTGTAATGGGGCTTTGTCCGAGGACGCCGAAGGGCAGAGGGACACGCGCAGAGGCTGGCGAGAGGTAACCTTAGCGCAGCACGAAGCCGAGTGTCATTTGCTCCGGGGTCATTGGCCTCGTGAGCTTCACCATCACCGACACTTATCACGCCCACGTGAGGTATATCCCAGATGGCTCTGCCCGCGGCCTGGGAACCGCCTGTCTCGCCCAAAGCAAACCCCGTCCCCGCACAGCCTCAGGAGAGCACCCGTCGGCGGGCAGAGGGGCTTTGCTTTCTCTCCGTGCGCCCCTCGCCATAGCCCCAGTGCTTCCCAGCTTCCAAGAGCCCTCCCCGCTCGCGCACCAAGGCCACGCTGGGGGAAGCGTCGGTGGGTGAAGTCAACTCTCCATACTCCCCGACCCGGAGCTGTTGGAGCGGGGCCAGAGGAGGGCACGGAGATGCTGGGAGGGCTGGAGCCCCTCTGCTGGGAGGACAGGCTGGGAGAGTTGGGGGGGTTCAGCCTGGAGAAGAGAAGGCCAAAAAGGGGAGACCTCAGAGCCCCTTCCAGTGCCTAAAGGGGCTCCAGGAGAGCTGGGGAGGGACTTTTTACGGGGCATGGAGTGATAGGATGAGGGGGAATGGCTTCAAACTGGCAGAGGGGAGATTTAGATGAGATATCAGGAAGAAATTCTTCACTGGGAGGGTGGTGAGGCACTGGAACATGTTGTCCAGAGCAGCTGTGGCTGCCCCATCCCTGGAGGAGTTCAAGGCCAGGTTGGACGGGGCTTGGAGCAACCTGGGCTGGTAGGAGGTGTCCCTGCCCAGGGCAGGGGGGTGGAACTGGATGGTCTTTAAGGTCCCTTCCAACCCAAACCATTCTGGGCTTCTGATTCCCAACTCATTCCCCCTTGAACGGTGCTGACGTAACTGGACTGAGCAAACCTAAGCAGAGGCCAAA